CTCTCACTGTTGTGGCCTCTCCCATTGTGGAGCGCAGGCTCCGGACACGCAGGCTCAGCGGCCATGGCCCACGGGCCCAGGCGCTCCGCGGCATGTGGGATCTTCCCGGACTGGGGGGCGAACCCGCGTCCCCTGCATCGGCAGGCGGACTCTCAACCACTGTGCCACCAGGGAAGCCCTGCTGAGCTTATTAAAATAAAAACTTCATAGCACAGCCGCCCTCTGCGGGGCGCCTGGCGTGCACATGTGCAGCACACCTTCATCTGTTTTCTCTCTGGTTCCTTTCTCGTGGTTGGAGGGGAGAGGATCAAGCGAGTGGTGTCCTGAGGACCCTGTGTAAGTGATGACTCCTTTGTAAGAAGTAGGAAACCAGCTCCCCTCGACCCCTGGGTGATGGAGTTTCCCGGTTCAGTAACCGAAAGGATCAGAACTAGAGCAGATTTCAGGGTCTCTCTGACGCGGGGGGCTCAGCAGTGTCAGCAAGAACTCACCTCCTCTGAATCTTACATCTCTGCCTTCCTCACCGTTCCCTTTATCCCACACCTGGCATCCCTAGTAGGGGAGAAATGGCTGCAGCAGCAGAGTTTGGCTAAAATGCAGATTTTTGACTCCTGAGTCTTCTGATGGCTTCCTCCCCTCAGAATAGCGAAACTGCCCCCTCACACCTCCTCCGTGTCCCATCGGCCTGAAATGGGTTCGTGTCCAAACCTTATCCCATCCCTTTGGCTGGACTGTGCCACATTCTGAGCAGCTGGGGTCTGGGTTGAGGAAAGGGATCCACCCAATCAGGGCCCAGCCCTGCCCCAAGACCTCTGCCCCGGGACCCCTGCCCCACACCGCAGGGTGCAGCTCCTGGGTGGGAGGCAGCCATGATGTCCACGACGGCCTTAAGCAGGGGATCCGGTGGTTACAAAGGGAGTTTCCATCCCCTGGGAGTGAGGGCTGAGGAGATTTCCCCTGGGGCAGGATCCTGAGGTGTCAGTGTCTACCACCAGCTCCAGATTTCATCTCTGATTCTGTTGTAATCTCAGATGGTCTCCTTGATACCCCTTCCTAGATCACATGCATCGTTTTTTTCTTCTTAAAGAAAACTACTTTTTAACTATGGAAAATCTCAAACATACAGAAAAGTAGAGAGAAGAGGACAGCATATGCTTTCTCTTTAGAGTAGTGATTTGTCACTTTTTGCTGGAACATCCAATGAAAGCTATGGACCACATCTCTAGAAAAATACGCGTGCAGGTGCTTTTGCACACGATTTTGGAGAGGGTCCTGGCCCCGCAGGAGGAGCAGAGCCGTTGGGGCCACGTGGTGCCCCCCGGGGTGGACTCAGAGGCTTTCTGTTGGCAGCGAGGTCAAGCTGCCAAGCTGTGGATTATTTTTGCAGAGGATTGCGGCCAAAGGGGTGAAAGTCCAGTTATTTCTGGTGAGGTAACTTTTAATCTGGTCCCTGGCAGTAAATACTTAACCGTGCTGGGAGCGTTCAGAAGGGGCGTCCACCTTCCCAGCAGTGCTGGTCCCTCACGTCTCTGCTGTTATCTCAGCGAGCGAATCCCAAGACCCTGTGCTTGCCACCCCGTCCCGGGCATTGCGCCAGGTTCTATTTTTATATATATGTATATTTAAAATATTTTTTATTGGAGTATAGTTGATTTACAATGTTATGTTAGTTTCAGGTGTACAGCAAAGTGAATCAGTTATACATATACATATATCCATTCTTTTTTAGATTCTTTTCCCATATAGGCCATTATAGAGTATTGAGTAGAGTTCCCTGTGCTATACAGTAGGTCCTTATTAGTTATCTATTTTATATATAGTATTGTGTATGTGTCAGTCCCAGTCTTCCAATTTATCCCTCCCCACTTCCTTTCCCCCGGTAATCGTAAGTTTGTTTTCTACATCTGTGACTCTATTTCTGTTTTTGTAAATAAGTTCATTTGTATCATTTTTTTAGATTCTACATATATGCGATATCATATATTTGTCTGTCTGACTTACGTCACTCAATATGACAATCTCTAGGTCCATCTATGTTGCTGCAAATGGCATTATTTCATTCTTTTTCGTGGCTGCATAGTATTCCATTGTATATATGTGCCACATCTTCTTCATCCATTCATCTGTCAACGGACATTTAGGTTGCTTCCATGTCTTGGCTATTGTAAATAGTGCTACAATGAACATAGGGGTGCATGTATCTTTTTGAATTAGAGTTTTGTCTAGCTATATGCCCAGGAGTGGGATTGCTGGGTCATATGGTAGCTCTATTATTAGTTTTTTGAGGAACCTCCATACTGTTCTCCATAGTGTTGTGCTGGGTTCTTGGTGGGCGTGTGACAGCCCCTGTCCTTGTTCCCTGAGGTTTTACTGAATCCACTCTAATCCTGTTTTGCTTTGAAATCAGGCTTTTGATCACGAGCAAACACTGATCCCTTCTTTCTGACGCGTGAATTGAGAATTTTTAAGGCCTAGGTGGCGTCAGGTGTTTTGCTGGCTCTGGCTTTTGTCCTCAGTTCCAGGCAATGTCATCGTTAGTCCCATAAAGCCACTTTCTCCCTGGCTTCTCTGTCCCTTCTTTCCTCTGCCCCCCTCCCCATCCCACTGTTCAAATGAGTATCTGTGTGTTATTGGTTGAGACATGAATTTTTCATCGCGGTAAACGGTGTTGTTATAGATTTGACTCTCCTTCCTGTTTGCTCACCCATTCCTGAATTTTCGAGACCCACCCGTGTTGCTCCAGGAAGCTCTGGTCCGTTGTTTCCAGCTTCTGTGGAGATGCCAGCTGCCCCTCTTAATCACCAGCCCTCTCTCTGCGCCCAATCCAGTGATACCAAGGCACATTTTAAACAGATCCCGTTTGTCCCTTGGAACCGTCACCCCGCCAAGCCTCGTGTACCGAGAACCCACAGTGGGCGGGAGGGAAGAGCTGTTCAGTGCTGGTTCTCCTTGACCTTGAAAGTGACTCTGCTTCCCCACCCACCCTTCTCCATCCCTAAAATAGAGACAGCCTCTTTCCTCCCCGATTGGCAAGAATATTGACAGAATTAATGACCTGAGAGGAAGCCACAGGGACTTTAGATTCTGCAGACTTTGCAACTTATTTTTCATTACAAGTTTAATGTTCAAATTCATATGTGCATTATGACTGCAACACTATAACATTACTTATTCGTATCAGCAATATTGGAAGAAACCCCTGATGTGGTAGATTGGTTAGATTGTGGGGGAAATGCTTCTTTTATTTCATGGGTTGATTTTTACTATTATTTTTGTAATACATATCTGCCAAGTTAAATAATTAGGTAATTTATCCTGCTTCCTAACTGACGGATTCTTTTTCCTGAACTGCCGTCTGAGTTTTGACTCTGGGAAGTATGGGAGCTTTTCTTCACGTGTGTTATGTGCTTGCATGCTTGCTATTTTCTTAGCATCACACAGGCCACTTTAGGAACACATTTCTTATATTCTACCAGGGGATTAAAATGATTTTAAGTCAGAAACCAGAAAGCAGAAGTTTTCAAGTAGTTTTGAGCTGTGGGACTAGAAAATCTAATAGCCTTATACCCCCCCATTTCCTCTTGTTCTGACCCTCAAAATTTCTTATTACACAGTGACATACTGGTGATCTGATTTTTTTTTTAAGCCTCACCTTGATAATATTTTATGATTGTGATTTGAATGTGTTATTTGAGGGAATATCTTCACTGATCCTGGGCTCTTTGCTGGCTTCTTGAAAATACTTTTCGCCCATCCCCTTTCTCTTGTAACCTCCTTATCCACTTGGGAGCAGACCTCAAAGAAGTTGGTATTTTCTTAAAAAAAATTCTGAGGCTCCAGGGGATCCCACTGTATAGAATGGTGACAGTCGTGCCCTAAGAATGGTGTTTTACACAAATCATATTTTTATCAAAATCTCTTATTTTTAAAAAGCGTCTAAAAATGCTGTGTTTAGCTATGTATTACTTGTTTGCATCTTTCTGAATGTCTGCTGTCATCCCGAGAGCGAGGTGGATGGCAGAGCTGAATTCACAGTTACTATGCTTCCTCTCTATCTGAACTTCAGGGAATTTGGGGGGAACATTCCCTATTTTCCCTTTTGTAAAAGATTTCTTATATTTAATGTTCATTAATTCATACAACACACATTTTTAGAGCCACTGTCCTGTGTACGTGGTGTGTGCGTGCACGTAATGTGTGTGCCTGACTGTATCTGAGGTGTGTGCAACTGTGTACCTGCGTGCACATGTGTGTGCCTGTGTGTGTCTGTGGTATGTGTCAGTGTGTGTGTGTCCATGGTGTGTGTGTGTGTGTGTACACGTGGAGGATGGCAGGAGAGCTTGAGCAACTCACCTGAGCTTCCAGAGCCTCAGGACCTGGGGACAGACAGCATAGGGCGTTAGAGCAGCCTCTGAACTCACAGGGAAGGTTTCTGTCTTGTTTTTCTTCTTTTTGGTTGTTTCCAGTTATACTTCTTTTTTAGCTCTCTTTTCCTAAGGAAAAATAAAAGGAATCAGTGCTTTTGGATTTTGAAGAAGGTTTTGAAAAGGCTGCAGCGGAGTCTTGATTTTGTTCCTGGGGAGGGGTTGCTGCTTTTGTGTCCTGTGCTCCTTGGTGACGTTTGTTCCTGCTCCGGACATGCAGGGGCCAACGTGAACGCGGCAAAGCTCCACGAGACGGCGCTGCACCATGCAGCCAAGGTGAAGAACGTGGACCTCATCGAGATGCTCATCCAGTTTGGAGGCAACATCTATGCCCGGGACAACCGGGGGCGGAAGCCATCCGACTACACATGGAGCAGCAGTGCCCCCGCCAAGTGCCTGGAGCACTATGAGAGTGAGTGTGTGTCGTTTGTGTGACGCCTGCACTAAGGTCTGCAGGGAAACCTCGTGCAGGAGGGCTTTGTTCTGATCACGTGTCAGTTCATCTCTGAGTCAGTCGTTTCTTGAATCAGACTGGGTCGCTATGAGGCCGATGATATAGATGCAGCCCTCACTCTTCAGGAAACAAAGGACAAACCATCTGGCTAAGACAAGACCTCCTCTCTGGGACACATTTTTAAATGAGTTTACATAGAATTACAGTCACAAGAGGCTTTCAAACACTTATCAATTGAAAAAGAGCCCATTTATTCCACATTTTGCCAACCTTACCCAACCAAAATCCATCATGAGTTTAGAGGCAAATACCATCCACGTCTACCGGGGAAACATTTCCTAGAAGGTGTTTCTTTTCCTGCATTCAAATAATTTGGGGGAGGAAGTAAATGGGAAAATGAATGTCACTAGTAATTCTGTTTATTTTTCTTTCAGAGAGCTTTGTCTTTCATAATGTTTCATAAGTTGAGAATACTTTCTTTGGTTGATTTATACTTTGATCAAACACAGATGGTCCTAAAGGCAGCCTTCGAGGCCAGGCTCTGCTCTGTACACATTCCCGTGGCCCAGCTGCCAGGGACCTCCAGGCACTTTCCTTCTTTGGCCCTGGTGTCCATCCCTCGTGAGCTATAGCTCCAGGCTTCACCTTCAGGCCTGTGGCCCTGACTCTCTGCCACCAGGATGTGCATTTGTGGACTGTCTGCCCCTGTGGGTCAGTTCTCCGTGGGTCCCTGTGGCCTGCAGCGATCAGGAGCAGAGCAGAGCCAGCACTGCCCGCCCGAACCCTCCCCCAGCCCTCATTTGTCTGGAAGTTTGACAAACAAGCCTACTAGCTGTAGATTAGTGCTTTGCTGGCAAATCTGTGTGCTGAGTTATAACATTATGGGGGAAAAAAAAATCACAAAACCCCAAAAGCCAAAAGCTCACAAAGTGAAATCCCAGTGGCCATGACCTGAATTCCATTTCCTGATCTTCCATCCTTGGTCCCTATTTGTCCTTCCTGGTCACCTTCCAGAGAAGGTACTCAGGGTTCAGGCTCTTTTCAGGAAAAGGGAGGTGTTTTCAGTTCCATGCTGGTACTTGTTAAGTTGAAGGATGCTGTGCTTCTTCCTTAAGTTAAGCTAACCTCACGTGCGTCTTGTCCCCTTTTTCCAGAGACACCTCTGAGCCTGTCCCAGCTCTGCAGGGTGAGCCTGAGGAGGGTGGCTGGCATCAGGGGGCTGGAGAAAATTGCCAGGTTGAACATCCCTCCCCGGCTCATTGACTACCTTTCCTACAACTGAGCTGCAGACACGCGGTCAGGGTGGGCCGGTGACACCGGGCTGCTGGCCTTGCTGAGCCCAGCATTGGGCCACAGGGTCGCTCTGTCCTGGGTGCCTGAAGCCATGCTGTTGCTGTAGAAAAACTGGAGTCCCTCCGGGCCGTCCTGTTTCGTCTTCTCTGCAGACCCTTGGCAGGTGTTTCTGAGGCCCTGGGAAGGCCCTGGGCTGGCCCTCCTGGGACTTCAGTCTAACTCTGGCATCCTCCCGGCCGTGCAGTTGTCTCTCTTCACAGACCTCCCTCGGAGGGATCGTCAGGAAAGACTTTCCCAGGAGCACAAGGGAGCCCGGCGAGGCTGGGGGTCCAGGGCCCTGATGCTGATTCCACATGCCCGGGAAGTGCCATCTCTGATTCCTTCATCACCAGGTGGCCCTGGGTGTTCAAGAGGAGGACCTGTGCTGAAGAGGGGTGGGGCCCTGGGAGGGGGGGTCCTGACTGCGGCCTGGACGCCACTGTGGGGACAGCCTGCCACTTGGGTGCTGTTTTCTGAAGCCACAGTTGGCACTTTCCGAGACCCACCTGCGCCCATGTGTACCCATCGCTCAGGGGGCTTTATACGGGTCTTAGTGGGGAAGCCTCAGGCTTTTTATTCCCCACAATAAGCTCACTGTTTCTTAGGAAGTTTTTCTTTGAGGTCTCAATTCTTTTAAAAAGTGTATAAAGCAAAAACTTTTAGACACATACGCTGTAACACTTAGGTTTCGTTAACAAGTCTCTAAAGCAACAGGTAAAAGGAAGGCATCTCAGCACATCTTCCCAGGGGTAGTGATCCAATGTGAAGCACTGTTAGGAAGCTCTTCAGAGATTGTTTTTCATCTCTTTCTACAGCTGCCAAATGAATCCTTTTCCCACCCTAAGTTTTGCTCATTCCTTGAAGCTCTGCAGTTGCAATTGCAATTGGCAGAAGAGGTCGCTGGCACCTGGTGGGTATTGTCAACCGTGGATTCATGCATTTTGTGGATTCTTAAGGAACATCTGTTATGCTTCAGGCACTGCCTCAGTGTTCTGAACTGGCTAAGAATGTGACTGACTCACCATCAAGGCAGGGAAAGAAACTGTTTCACAATCTGTTTCTTTAGTAATAGAAACAAGTAATTCTACATGATAAACCATGAGGTAACATGACGTAGTATGTTTGGACTGCATCTGTCTGCTTAAGATTCTATATCATAGTTTAAAAAACGAACCCAAAACCCGGGAGTTAAGCTAGAGGACTTCTGTATAAGTAGTTGAGGTCTCTTTGGTTTCAGGGGAAATGGAGAAGGTACCGCTTGTGAACCCTCTTGAGGGTCAAGCCTGAAGCCATCGTCCCCAGAAATGTGACCTCACCAGATTTCCCCAGGAGTGTGGGGAGTAGAGTGAGCGGGGATGGGCCAGGGTCACGCCAGCTGTGCTCACAACCAGAGGCACCTCTTGGCAGGTCTATTTGGGTGGGGCCCAGATCTGGTGGAAAGTTCCATGCTGGCAGCCGTGGGTATTTTCCAGCTCCTCAGTTCTGGCTGTTGTTACGGTGGTGCTTCATCATATGTGGAGATAAGAGCCCCTCCCATTCGGCTGCAGGTGTACATGCATGTTCTGGGTAAATCAGCGTATCTGCATGTACTAATAAAATTAAAAAGAGCGTTGGGTTCTGCCCTTTCATCTTTGTAACAGGAACTTGCCTCTAGCCATGACAGTTGCTAATACTTCCATATGCGGAGTGCTCAGGGCAGAATCCGGTCCCCATACTCACAGCTCAATAAAGGTTGTTGGAGAGAGTCCATCTTTGTGTTCACACGGCCCTTTTCTTACTTGGGTGTGTGTGTGTGTGAGCTTCATCCTATGGGAGTCAGAGGGGCCACTGTCATCTCCTCTGGGTTTTGGATGGTCAAGTGACGTCTGTCTCACATTCCCATCTTCCCGCCTCTCCGTCCCTGGTGCTGGTCTCAATGCCACCCACATGCGGAGAGACCCTGCCCAAGGGATCAGATGACTAAGATTCTAGGGCCTCCAGTACCTACCCCTCCCCACCTTTACTGAGATGTAATTGACATAAGATTCTTCAGTCTAGACGCATCCGTAGGGTGAGGCTGAAGACATCTCTCCAGCCCTCTGAGCCTGGGTCTTCCCAGCTGCAGGAGAGGGATCAAAGGTCAGACTTTGATCATTGAAAGGATGTTGATGATCAACCACTGAATCTTAACAATGAGAAAATGAGGCCCCGCTAGGCTCAGATGTTTTTGTGAGGCCAAAATTAGGTGATTAGAAGATGCCTTGAAAACTGAGACGTGCTCCTCAAATGTAAAAGTTGTAGGTATGACGGTACTGTGGCTTTGCTGATGTGTGTAGATCTTACAGCCATGTAAATGATTCTCTTCTGACTTTGGGATAGGGCCACCTATTTCAGGAGTAATCGATTCAGAAGTCCTCGCAGTTTACATTTTAAAGCTCAATGTGCACATAGGGAACTATATTTAATATCCTGTGATAAACCATAATGGAAAAGAATATGAAAAAGAATATATATGTGTGTATAAATGAGTCACCTTGCTGTACAGCAGAAATTAACACAACACTGTAAATCAACTATAATTCAACAAAATTAAAAAAAAATTCAACATGCAGCTAACAGATTTGGAGAAGACATTTGCAACACTGATATAAATGGTGATCGAAATATATAAGGATGTTTCATAAATCATTCAGAAAAAGATTAACAACCCAGTAAAAAAAAACAGGCAAAGATGATGAACAAGAAATTTACAAAAGAGGAAACCTCAAATGTCACGTGACAGGAAAGGATGGTCACTAATGATGAGAGAAATGCAAATTAGTGAATACACAGTTCAACAAAATGATACTGTTATATACCAATATCTTGACGAAAATGAAAAGGTCTGACAGTTACTTAATGTTGATAGATCGTATGGGTAAATGGGAACTCACAGACTGCCAATGGGGATATAAATTGGTACTTGTGTTTTGGAGAGCTATTAAATGGTGCTGTTAAAAGTGCTTATACCACATGTGCACAGCATTTCTATTTGTTGGGGAATTTTTTTTCCCTTCCAGTTTTGTTGAGATATAGTTGACACACGGCACTGTATAAATTTAAGGTGTACATCGTGAAATGATGACCACCTTAAGATTTAGCGAATATCCATCATCTCATACAGTTACATTAAAGAAATAGAACCCTCAGAATGGGAGAAAATATTTGCAAATGAAGCAACCGACAAAGGATTAATCTCCAAAATTTATAAGCAGCTCAATAACAAAAAAACAAACAACCCAGTCCAAAAATGAGCAGAAGACCTAAAAAGACATTTCTCCAAAGAAGATATACAGACTGCCAACAAACACATGAAAGAATGCTCAACATCATTAATTAGAGAAATGCAAATCAAAACCACAATGAGATATCATCTCACACCAGTCAGAATGGCCATCATCAAAAAATCTAGAAACAATAAATGCTGGAGAGGGTCCAGAGAAAAGGGAACACTCCTGCACTGCTGGTGGGAATGTGAATTGGTACAGCCACTATGGGGAACAGTATGGAGGTCCCTTAAAAAACTACAAATAGAACTATCATATGACCCAGCAATCCCACTACTGGGCATATACCCTGAGAAAACCATAATTCAAAAAGAGTCATGTACCAAAATGTTCATTGCAGCTCTATTTACAATAGCCAGGAGATGGAAACAACCTAAGTGTCCATCATCGGGTGAATGGATAAAGAAGATGTGGCATGTATATACAATGGAATATTACTCAGCCATAAAAAGAAATGAAATTGAGCTATTTGTAATGAGGTGGATGGACCTAGAGTCTGTCATACAGAGTGAAGTAAGTCAGAAAGAGAAAGACAAATACTGTATGCTAACACATATATATGGAATTTAAGGGAAAAAATGTCATGAGGAACCTAGGGGTAAGACAGTAATCAAGACACAGACCTACTAGAGAATGGACTTGAGGATATGGGGAGGGGGAAGGGTAAGCTGTGACAAAGCGAGAGAGTGGCATGGACATATATACACTACCAAATGTAAAATATCTAGTGGGAAGCAGCCACATAGCACAGGGAGATCAGCTCAGTGCTCTGTGACCACCTAGAGGGGTGGGATAGGGAGGGTGGGAGGGAGGGAGACGCAAGAGGGAAGAGATATGGGAACATATGTATATGTATAACTGATTCACTTTGTTATAAAGCAGAAACTAACACACCATTGTAAAGCAATTAATACTCCAATAAAGATGTAAAAAAAAAAAAAAAGAAAGAGAAAATGTTTTTCCTTGTGATGAAAAGTCAGGATTTACTCTCAACGACTTTCATACAATGTACAGCAGTTAATTATCTCTATCACATTGTACGTTACATCCCTAGTACTTATTTAACTTGTGACTGGAAGTTTGTACCTTTTGAACCGCCTTCATCCAGTTCCCCCTGGTATTTCTACTTTAGCGAATGTACCTTAAAGAAACGCTCAGATGTATCAAAAGGAGGTGAGTGGGGATGTTTAGTGCCGCGATGTTTGTCATAGTGAAAGACCCCGTGAGTAGGGGAGAAGTTGTAGAAGATATTCATGTATTCACATAATGCTTCCACTCCGTGACAGTTAAGATGAATTAGAGTTACATGTCTTACCACTAATGGATCTAAAAATGATAATGGCAAGCGAAAAAATGTTGCCAACCTTATTTACATGTAGTATGAATCCATTTGTATAAACTGAAATACAGAACAGCCTATCTAAGCATACCCATGTGTAGTGAACACACATCATGGAACCCACACGCCAGTGTCACGCAGTGATTACCTCTGTGTGAGGAAGGGACATGTGACTTGGGGATGGGAACAAAGGGAACTTCAACTCTGTGAGGTTTCATTTGTTTTTTTTTAAAAAAAGACATGAAGCAAATATGACAGAATGCTGCAATTTGTTCATGTTGGGTGGTGAATATGTATGTGGCATTA